TAATTTATACAGGAATTAAATGAATTTGTATCTACTCATATTTATGTAATTAAGTGTTTTAATGATTTGGCCGATTAATCGAAAAAACAAATTGACAGATTAATCGATTATTAAAATAATCGTTAGTTGCAGCCCTAGAGTAAGGTTTTTGATTTTTGAGGTTTTCCAGAAGGAGTTCATGCAGTATTTTCATGCTAAGCAACACTTCACAACAGCTCCTGGTGTAACGTTTTCATACTTTCCTGTTTCTTGTAATTTTTACCCAAAGGCACCAAGCATACATCATTCATCAGCCTTTAATCTGTTTACACACTGTCATGTTGTTAGAGTTCAACAGGGTGAAAACATATTGATTGCCAGTAAAGCAGCTCAATCTTATGCTCACTGATGGGGAAGCTTCTACATATCTTTTTTGTTGTTTTCTGCGTTGGATTTGAATTGAGAAAAACATGGTTTCTGAAGCAGCACTTCAAATATCTGAACCACTGATGGATGTTAATTTCCATCATCTTGCTTCACGATTTGTAATCAGAAACTGATTATACTCAAGAAAAAAAAAAGATTTGTTGTTCATCCAAAAACCCCACGCTGCGCTTCAAACAGAGAGAGGGTGAAATTTAAATAATCTTTAGCAAATATGACATTCATACAGCTGTTTGATGCATGCCATTTTTCCATCCCACCTACTCCCAACACATCGCTCTCTGTCTGCAAGGAGCAGAAACCACTCCCACTGCCACCGGCTGTTACCATAGCAGCCCACCCTCCAATCCCTCTGCAACGAGCCACGATGCTGGCCTGACTGTACACTGTGCCCACTCCAGTATATCTGAAGAGCTTTGAGAAAACACTTGCACATAAACATGCCAGTCTGTAACTGTGAGGGTCTCAGCCAAGTTTGCAGTCCACACACAATCTTCAAGCAAACGTATCCATCTGTGAATTGGTTTTAATGCTTTTCGAGGCCCAGAAAAAGTGATAGAGGGGAAAAAAACTTTTACAGAAATAAAATAATAAAGTCGGAGTAACATCCAGGTCAAGTTTTCTCATATCTGCGAACTGAAACCAAATCCAGAACAGACCGAGAAAGAAATGGTTGGAAGAAAACTAAATTAGTCTGCCAAACACAAAGCAATAAGATTTGTCCTGAACCAGCAGAAGAAACACGTCAGTGTTCTGGTGCAGATGATTTTATCACATCCTCTACCTGCAGACAGCACATCTTTTCAAAGAGACACTCTGGGTTTCAGCTGCTTTAGATGCACTTTATTTTCTGTGCCACATGCTTAAACTAAAACAATTTTATATTTTATTAGTGGCCTGTGTGCATGTCCTTTCTTCACACCTCAGTCTGGTGGTGAAATGTTTGCATTTGAACTTCTGGACAGTGTTTTGGTGTGAAGCTTCCTGGGTGCACCGTGGTGTTTTTCAGCCACATCATCTGCAAGCTGACATTTACAGAGATTATAAGTTTCAGCCTCTCTGTTTAAAATGTTTACCAGTTAGGTACCAAACAAGTCCACACCCAAAAAGGCCATTTTTAGCTGTGGTAGCCATCTTCCTTCACAGAGAACATCCGCTGTCTGTGGCTGGATCATGATGGCGCCCCCTCCACTGTGGCGTGTAGGAAACATCTCAGATGAGGCCTCCTTGTCAGGCCAGTAATGTTGGAAGCCATCAGGACCGTCAAGGTTCACTGATCTCATCAGAGAATAAAACTTTTTATTCCTTATAAAATCTAATTTCCCTTGGGATCAATAAAGTATTGCTGCGTTGAACTTAATTGAATCTGTTATACTCTTATCATCTATTCAGTGCWACATTACATACCAAAATTAAAAAATTTAAAGACAAAATTTAATAATACAGACATAAACTTGACATTAGGTGAGCTTTTACAAATAAATTTTTCCTTTTATAATCAATGTATTCAACTGTCTACGCAAAAAGAATTAGTCGATTGTGGTTAAACTTAAAGTTATGGATACATCAATATTTGAGTGTGTTCTTGGTTTGGTTCCTGCCCTAAACACATAAAGGCTTTATGAGCCGACAGCAGAGAACAGATGAGGAGTCTGATATCATTGTTCTAAACCTTTTTAACCAACAGAGGAGATTAACCGCGATAAGAAGACTTTAATCTCTTCCTGAATGTTTCACAGATAAGAGCCATCCGTTTTCACAAAAACTACAGGGAACTGGCACATTAGATCGCAGGCATCCTGTCAAAYATTATATTCATAAAAATATAAAAACATGGGTTTTAAAACTTCAAAAGTGTGAAGACCTCACATTCCTTGAAGTAATCGTTATGACTTTAATGCCAGTTTTAGATTATTTTCAATTCAATTTTCAATTCAAAAGATCTATTCATTTCATTAAAAAATAACTATATACAATAACAAAAAATAAACAAGAAAATACACAAATCAAAATAAAATGAAAGGYAGCAGAAGAAGAATAAATCTTATTATGTAAGATTAAGATTAAGATCATCCTAAACTGAGAAATGAGTTTTAACCACAAGTCTTACCAAGTACTATTGTTTTACTGCACTGGCAGATTATTTCAATTAATTTGACATGATTCAGACAGAAATTAAATGTAATAATCTGCCAGTGGAATAAGATTTTAATCCTTGGTTAGATGGAYAATGTTTGTAGTGTAGGGTACAAAGAAACAGACTTCCTGCTGTACCTACAGTAGAAGGTGCCAGACTATACACACCTTGACCATGAAGTTGCCGTCGTCCTGCAGAGTCACCATGACAACAGAGTCATGAAGTTTCTCGTCAAAGTGAACGTGGGAYGGAGCTCCAGCTGAGGGTGGTTCCTCTGTGAAGTGCACACCGCCTCCCATCTTCCCACAACCTACAGAAAAGGAAAGGATTAGTTGGTATGTAGATCACAATGGTTTCCTTTAAAAGGAAATAAAACAACACTGAATAGATAAGTTGCTTMATTTTAAAAAGATAATGAACAGAATCAAATATGTTTAGATTATATTCATCAGTGTCATCGTGAACACACCCAATTATTCCCAGATTCATCTTTTCAAACTCAAATCCACAGATGTAAGGAGATATCATCTGTCAGAGAGTACAGCATCACTTTGCTTACTTCTACTCTCCATCGTTTGTGAGGTCTCACAGTCACACAAAGGGTTAAAAGTTCAGGCTTTCCAAGCTAAACATATTCTTTGTTGATGCTCTATGACAYTGATATTCACTGTTCATCTGGACAGACATTCAATCACAGTATGAGGGAATGAAAACAACTTCTCCAAATAAACAAGCCTTCCTAGAAATTAATTTCTGAGAAAAAAATGAGTAAAATTTCTACTCAAAGGACTTTGATATAAGTACATCTCGTTCCCAGAGCCTGACTGGAAAACATATATAGTAGCTAAAAACACTGATAAGTTGTATATAAAAGCATAACCAAACATCTTTAATGTTTATTAAACAATCTATAAATAGGATTCTTCTTTTTAAGAAGCACTTGAACTCATCCTTTACTTGAATTTAAATATTATTTTCCCACAGAAATAAGGTCTGTTTTGGAAATTTAGATGGCTACACACTAAAATGATGCTTAGAGTTAATTGATGAAACTGGCAGCTTTATCATCTTCTACTAAACCAGTTAGGAGTAGCAAAAAGTATTTTCCTGCAACCTCAACAGTAAAACGTGGAAACCTGTAATATTGGTTCAAATGTTCAGGGTGAAGCACACTTTCAGTTTTAGTTGCTGTTTAAAAACGGTGCTGCAGCAGTTTTTGGATATTAATAAAAATGCAAACATTGATAAAAAGCAGGAATGGCGCAAAATGAAGAGTTATTCACCAAAAAGTGAAGATAGGATCCATTCTTCAAGCACAAATACAATTTTGTTTTACATTTTCTTATTTCTTAAGTGCATCCCTTACATACAAACACACTTTAGACTCTTTGTTTAATAGTTAAATACTGGGTGGATCATATTTTTAGTACAGAACTGCATCATTTTAAAGCTGCTCTATGAATCACAGAATACATGCGTACAAATTGGTTCATCTCCACAGCACAATTTAAATCAACATAAAAAATATCAAGGAGCGGTCCAAGCATTGATATGTAGGGAACTGTGGTCCATGTCCATTGTGATACACACCATGTTACTCTTTAAATAGGCAGACTGACTGATTACAAGTTTGAACACACCTGTAAGGAGGAATCCTCGTTTTAACATAACACTATGGTCCAATTATTTCTTTTAGGATATCTTTTCTAGAGGTACCATCATTTCTGTCCAGGCCTGGTTTGTTAGTTTATTTTCTAAAATAGTTTTGTTTAACCACAAGTCAGAGGCAATGTGTGATTTTCATTGGTTGATTTTAGGAAAGTTTTTATTTATTATTACCGTACTTTTGTCAGTTTAAAGATACACTATATTGCCAAAAGTATTTGCTCACCCCCATCCAAATGAATGTGCACCAGTGCRCAAAGCAAGGTCCATAAAGACATGGATGGTATGACTGGTCCTGACCTCAACCCAATAAAACACCTTTGGGATGAATTAGAGCAGAGACTGAGAGCCAGGCCTTCTGTCCAACATCAGTATGTGACCTCACAAATGTGCTTCTGGAAGAAYGGTCAAAAATCCCCATAAACTCACCCCTAAACCTTGTGGACAGCCTTTCTAGAGGAGCTGAAGCTGTTCTAGCTGCAAAGGGTGGAGAAATGTCATACTGAACCCTATGGATTAGGAATGGGAGGTCACTTAAGCTCATATGCGAGTCAATACTTTTGGGAATATAGTATACCATACTTGAGTAACTATTGTGGGCTTTTCGGTCATTAACTAAGGGGTACCAAAAATTTTATCCATGTGTGTACTGTCATTAATTAAATTTCTAATTATGATCTCAGTGTATTACAAAATTTGTACACAGTCATAATATAAACATACATTGTACCAATTTACTGTCAGGGGAGATGCCAAAGTCAATACATCACCACCCGCTCCCCACCCCTCTGCTCAGCACCCCCAACCTCCCCTTTAGAGATTGGACATTAGGGTTGAGTGATTATTGTACATAAAGTACAGACATTCCTCTCCCCTTCGAGCCCTCTTCTGTTAAATGTTTGTTTGGGCTCATATTAGAGATTAAACATTCTCAGGGGCTGAGGTAGCTCAATAGTCAGTTCTTTAGTCTTGTAACCCTGAGGCTGAAGGTTCAAGCTATGTACTGCGTCCGACAGGGCATCTGGTATAAAACAAATGCCAAATCTTTTTGTGAGAGTTTACTCGCTGTGGCAACTCCTGCAGAAAGGAGCAGCACGAAAAAAGAAAAAAAAAAACATTAGAAATCCTTACTCTTTTCAATCTGGGTCACTATATGAGTTTGAGGATTACAACATGATCCATATGTGCAGAATCTCAGTGTAGAAAAAATGTTTGTTTTTTTTACTATGTAAAGCTTTTGATAAGAAAAAAAATGTAGGAAACTCTAATGTCAACATCACCTCTTACTGGAAGCTCTGAAAGAATATTCTTAAATATGCAAAGCGACTTTAGACTTACTGGTAATTTATTACCCCTGAGACCTCAGACAACGCAATCTCCTGTCTTTGTCAAATCCAGATAAAATGATGACAAAAGTCAAAGCAGGTCAGTATCTAAAAATGACTTTTCTTATCTGGCTGTACCTTTATTTAAAACCCAAAACATTGCAAYATTACAGAATGGTCAACCTTTGCCTTTTAACAAAGCTATGCCTAAGAATTTTWAAAAAATCTATACAGAGTAAAATTCTCATTTAAACAGTCTAATTCCATATGTATTAAAATGTTTACTTTATGTTGGAGGAGGGTGTGTAAATGCAGATGTTTACGTTGGGACACTAACATCTGTTTCCTGGATCCCCAAAGCATTTCCTGAAAATTCTACATCCTTCAGCAGCTTTTAAACCAGACAGGAAGAATTCACGGAGATGAATGAGAGTATTCAYATCCCTTTGAACTTTTCYATATATTTCTACATATTCCACCAARAATKTATGCGGCAGACCAACAGAAAGTAACACTTAAAACATATTAGGATGTATTCACACCAGCCCTGTTTAGTCYGATACCTTTAACTAAAATCCAGTCCAATAACTCCCCTCAGAGGTCACCTCATTAGTGAATAGAGACCACCTGTGTGTAATTTAATCTCCAGCTGTTCTGTGAAGGCCTCAGACATTTAGTACAAAACATTAGTAATCAAACAGTATTATTAAGACCAAGGAACAAACTGATATCAGGGTTAAAGCTGTTAAAAAGTTTGGATATTAGAGGTCGACTGATACATCGGCCAGCTGATATTTTAGGCCAATATTTGTGTKTTTTTTCTCGCATTGGCAATAAAAACAAACATAAGTTAAGATTTTTTGTTCTTATTATATTTAAATGTTCTACAATTTTTGCGATCCACTCTTAATGTTTTTTTTATGTTAATAAATGTTTCTTTTTTGTTTAAATTGAGACTTGCGTAGCATTTGTTATCATTGTGTCTACTTATCATGTAAAGGAAGGAAGAAAAAGCTACATCGGCTTAAAGAATATGCCCCAAAAAAAAAATATGGCAGCACATATCGGTAGGTTAGACTGATGTCAAAATAATTGGTATGGGCATAGGCCTTAAAAAACCTGTCAATCTCTATAGGATATAAAATAAATTTTAAAGCTTTGAACATCTTACCCCTTAAAACTTAACATTAAAACTTTGCAATAAATGCTAAAGATGACTGATAAAAATTTAACGAATTGGAAAAAAAGATTGATTTAGATTTTTGGCAGATTAATATTAGTTCTTAATATGATCAGTTTARTCAAAACGTTAGTCAACACAATACTACATATTTAAAAATTAGTTGTGGCAATTTAGTTAAAAAAAACGAATTACTCATCATGTTCAACCTGCAATCCGAAAAACAAAAGATCAATACCAAGTAGGGCTGCCACGATTAGTCGATTAGTCGACGACTAATCGATTATTAAAATAATTGATGACTAATTTAATAATCGATTAATTGTTTTCTTTTTTTTGTTGTTGTTTTTTACTTTGTTTTTCTCTCCAAACTGCTTTGACACCTTCCACTGCCACATCTGCCTTTCTGTCCTTGACACACATGCACAGTAGTGGTAACTGGGGTAGGCCGTGGACGTCACAAGACATTATACAGACAGGCTCTGGTATCATGGCTACCTGGCAACGGAGCTCAAAGTGTGGGATCATTTTAAGAAAATGAAAGAAAAACCTGTGCAATATCTGCAGAGCAGAACTTGCCTTCCACAGCAATTATTTTTGGTTAGCATATAGCTAAAATCTGATGATGGTTATATAATAGCAGCTGCATTCTGGCACGATAAGCTCTATGTTTTAAATTCAGTTAACGTATGATCCGTTTAGTCGACTAATCAAAAAAATAATCGGTGATTAATCGATTATAAAAATAATCGTTTGTGGTAGCCCTAATACCAAATCCTGCAGTCAGGGCTGCAACTAACGATTATTTAAATAATTGATTAATCTGTTGATTATTTTTTTCGATTAATCGGCCACATCATTAAAACTTAATTACATGAATATGAGTAGATGTAAATTAAGTTAACTCCTTAAGGATGCAAGTTACTGATAATGAATTAATCTGAAGTTGATTTATCTTATAGATTTATTAACAATTAATTAATAAGCAGCCATTTTTTTAAAAACCGGAGTTTTCTCTTGAATCAAGAGGGTCTTCCCATAAAATGAAGGATTTTTTATAGTCTCCTGAATTAAAAAACAGAAGCACATAATACATAGTTTAACAATTTATTTTGCCAGCTGTATTAAATACTGACTGAA